AAACCTCTGAGAGAGGAGGACGTGTCCCCTTCCCAGGGACAAGCAACTCTTCAAGCTGGATTTTTTCTGCAGTCGCTTGTCCTCTTGTTTTAAGTCCCGCCAAGAGCCAGAGAGAATCAATATATCCAAGTATACCGGACTTCTCCCAGAGTCCCTTCACTGGTTTGCTGCTGATGTATAGACAGATGATCTCATGAGACCTCTGCCACATTAGGCCACCGTGTCTCATCTATCTTAAGTGCATGTATGAGCTGTGATTACTACAGCGTCTGAGCGCCTCATGTCTTGAATGCATTTATCCTCCCATCGGTCCTTCGAGACAAGGGACTGCTATTGTACCTCTTCCAGGGAGGACGCGGAGGGCCACGGAGGTTAAATGGACTGATCACTGAGGATATCCGGGCAGCAGCGATGTCGGGACCCTCCGAGCATCTCCCCTGTCTTGTGCCTCTGCCTTGCGAAGCACCCAGGCGGCACCTACCCCACAAATCACAGCTCAGGACTCAGCTCAGGACTCTGGCTCTGCACGGGATCGAGCTTCCAGTGCCGAGCCTAATCCTGAGATTAATGAGGGATTCCCTCTATAAAGACCTCTCTACCAGACCTCTTATGAGCAAATACACCATCAAGCCAAACCGTAATATTTTCCTACCCTGTCAGCCGCTGTCTTAAGCCTTACACACTACAGCAATAATCAAAAAGCAATTAGACAAAACCAGGGTGGAAAAGTCCATCAAGGGTCATTAAGGATGACAACTTCGATGCAGCCTCTGGCTCAGGACATCCGCGCACGGCGGACCGGTGCTGTCCAGGCAGATGTGCCAGCAAAGGTATCCCCGTGCACACATCTAGTTTTTATACCCTTTCCTCGTGTCCCTGGCCCTGTCACAGCAGGATAACCACACCTGCCCTCTGACTAAAGCGCCCTCGTTATCATTACTCCTAAGCCATGCCTGCTTCTCCCGGACAGAGGCTGCCGAGCCCTCATCCCTCCTAGGAGAGCCCTCACGGCAATTCCTCAGCACATTTCCTCAGCTTAACGGGAGGTGTGACGAGACCCGTGTCTGCAGCATGGATAAATATCCCCCAGTTAGCTCAACACGGTGCTGCTTGCTCTGCTAGTGAGCAGCCCCGCGTGCTTCGGCGTCACCCTGTGCCCGGCAGCTCGGGACGCCACGCTTTTTCCTAGCCAAGAAATTCCAGCCTTCGTCCGTCGAGAGATGAAAACCAGCCTGACAACATGGCAATCGCCATGACAACGTCAGAGTTACCCCAAAAAATAAAGAGCCCGGTAACTATGGAAACACCTGAGTGACCAAAACCAGAGTATTAACTAGAAGACCTCTCCACAGTTTACAGATGGCATCGGCACTGCGAGGCTGGGGACCGTAATACACCCGAAGCCTTCGAAACAAACAGATGCTCGGCACTTATGGGTGCAAACACGAATGTGCGTAGGCACACACAACACTGCCCTTTCAGACCCCAGTGTCCAAGTCCCCTGCACAACCTGCATCTCCTCTGGAAAGATGCTGCTGCCTTCACGCTGGATGTTATATCCCGACCATGGTTATCTACATCCTTCTCTCCCTCTTTGCCCTCCTCCCTCCCTTCACCCCGCTGAGGACGCCTCTCTTGACTACCGTCCTAATGGTCTTGACACCGCAGGGGTGCCAAGGGGGGATGGAGCCGCCCCATCGCATGCCAGAGCTGGCTTCCCGGTACGGTTTCGGTGAGCTGCATTTTGAAGCCCCGGTGCCCGGCAGCTCCAGTGGCAGTCGTGCTGTCACAGCTGGAGCGCCCCAGCCCAGGGCAGAGCCCTAATGCAGTTAAGTCTCCTCCGCTGAGGCAGAAGAAGCTGTGACTACACCAGCTTCCCTTCTTTTTCCACCTCAACCTGTTCAGCTGCATTAATAGGAGTTGCCGTGGGTTAGTACAACATTACTGGGAGAAGAAATAAAAAAGGACAGAGAGGGGTGAGGCAGAGGGACAGAAGACAGGCTGTAACACATCTTGGTTGGACTGGCCACAGGTTCACAAAACCCTTCCCCAGAGCCGGCATATCCTGCTTTTGCTCACGGCAGGAGGATGAGGATGGGCACAGGTAGGGCCAGCCACCGCGCAAGGCTCTGAGCGGTGATGGAGGCACCGATAGGGCCAGCACTCATGCGATTCACTAGCAGAAAACTCTCTTGCTCAGGTTCACTCAGCTCTTGAGTTATAGAGCGAAAATGCTCTCCTCCTCCCGGCTGCATGGAACTCTTCCAGCCCCCAAACCAAACAGAGCCTCAAAAACAGGTTTAACAGCTCCCATAATGTGGCAGCAACTGCAGATGCGAAAATTCAGCAGAGCTTACCAGACCAAGCCGCTAAATGCATGTTGCACGGGACCAGAGCAATGCACGGGTGAGAAAACAGCCGAGCGGTCAAGGGAGCTGGGAGTGGCTGGAAAAGAGTCTCGAGTGAGATCAGTCACTGCGGAGCCAGGCTGCTCTTGGTGTAAATCCTCTGAAGGACCCAACCGCACGCTCCCCCAGTGAGCAAACATTCTCATTTGCTCCATTTCCCACCAAGAGCCACACAGTAAGCTCACAGCTGCCAAGAAAATAATGAAGCCCGTGAAGTGCCTTTGCACAGAGGAGCACTCGCCAGCGTTAAGCGTGGGGACCGGCTCCTTCAGCTACCGGTCTGCCCGTGCCTGGCACAGACAGCGCTATCAAAGCCTCTCCCCAGTGACATTGCTGAGAGCCGCTCACCCATCCGCTCTGTAAACCCTTAAATTATGCACCAGCTTTCCCTTAACCAATTCTCCCTGGTCCCTTTTCTCCACCACTCCAAATGAGACGGAGAAAGACGGCGAGAAGGAACAGGCAGTGGCTCGCTCGAGACTTTCTCAGGAATGAGCGGCAAGGCAGACCTACAACTGCGAGAGGGGCCGGCAGCTAGCTTTGGGTCCCCGCTCGCTCCTGGCTCTCCAAATCAGAGTATATCCTACTAGGGAAAGGGCTACCGTCTCGGCATCTGCTATAGCACCTCTGTGCACCTGCCCTGGCTCTTATTCCAGTCCCCGCGCTTCCAATCCTCGTCTCTCCTATGTGCGCTGAATACAAAATGGAGAAGTAGAGGTCCCCCTTGGTGGCTTGGCAGACCCAGAGAGAGAAACAGAGGAGCTGCCTACGGAGACGGGCAGCCACCGAAGTTGTCTCGGGCCACCTCTGGGCTCAGCACCCTCCATCAGCAGGAGGCCAGACTTAAGTAAATCTCTGTGATCATTTGTTCCCTTTGAGTTTTGAAAGCAGAATGCCTAATCATGGCCAAAATCAGGTAAGAGCTGCTGCTGCAAATTACACAGCGCCACAGGTAATTTCTGATTAGCTCACTCTTCCTCTCCTGGTGCATCCTCAGTTTCCATAGCAGCTAAGTCCTAAGTAAAATGGAAACATCTGGTTCAAGCGCAGGTAAAGATTCCCTGGGGAAAGAAACCTGCTGGATGGCAGCAAACACAGAAAATAGCCCTCGCGAAAGACAGAGGCATCGTAAGCCGGGAGCCTGGTTAGGAAAGGATGGATGGCGTGCAGGAGAAGGCAGCGAGGGGCACGGGAGTGGGAGAGGAGGGTCCCGGAGGAGCAGGAGGGGGTGCGGGAAGGAGAGCGGGCCTGCGGGGAAAACAAGATGCATGTGAAAAACAGGCAGTGAGGAGGTTGAGCGAGACAAAAAGACATTGTCAGGGTAGACAAGGGGAAGAGGAGAAAGAAGGAAAGATTTCAAGGTGGGAGCACATGGACTGCCTCAACCATAAATGCCGCCTGACGGTGACAGATACAGTGACAGCAACTTCGATGCCGTGGATAGACGCTTGGGGCCGGAGAGGAGCACACGGATCTGCGCCCTGCATTTCATCACTTATCCAACATCACAGACCCCGACCGAAGGCCACCGTCTCTGAGGCACGACCACCTAAAGCGGATAAGGCAACACGTGCGCCGTAGGGGAATGGTTTTTACAGAGGCTTCTGTCAAGGGAAGGGGCTGAGATGCTGCCAACTCAGTTTGCTCTCTGCCTGGGCTATGGAGAGTGATGGATCTGGCCCAGCAGTTTGCTACAGTGCAGACAAATAGTGAAAAATCAAGGGAGCTGCACCAAGACACCGCAGCCATCGTCAGGCAGCTGAATAGAGAGCACAGACGCGGCGCCATCCATCACTGCCGCTGCTGCATCGTCTCCTTCGGCTGCCGGACAGCACGGCTGGGGCACCCCTGAGGAGAACTTGAGGCAAATGTCTGGGACAACAGCCCACGCTGGTAAAACCTCAGGGGAAAAATGACTGAAGTTGAACTGAAGGGCTTAGGCAGGATCAGAGGATCAGAGCCAGGCACTGCCCCTTGGCCGGATTGCTCATCCCACCCAAAGCCCCCAGATCTCACCCCCAGCTCACCGGCGAGGACCTCGCAGCCACCCAGGACTAACAGGGCAGCAAAACGCAAAGCAAATGCCAAAAAGCAGCTGGGAAACGGTTTTGAAATAATATGCTCCCGAACGGGCACGTATGGGAATTTGCTTCCCAGCAGTCACACCCACACAGTTCTGCTCAGGTTTTGCTTACCAATTAACAAGGCCACCAATTAATGCTTTGTGTGCTTTCCTGCTCATTTGCACTATTTACAGTCCTCCTTTGAAGCAACGTGCGAGAACTCCCCAAAAACTTTTCAAAATAGGGCCAGACAAGCACACGCAATCCCTAAGCATGACAACCCCAACCTGGTACCTACTGCCAGTCCTCCACACGAGCAAAACCATAAGCTCCTCTCCCACACCACCAAGATGGATGTTTCTCCACCAGAGTCATCAACTCCTGCATTAAGTCACGTCTTTTCGGTGCACATCACCTTCTCTTTGCAACTGAAGCACCACGTGAACCACCAGCCAACGACGCCTCCCCAGCCGCTCGCAAATGGCGCTGTGCCCTTCCCGGAATATTTCTGGTAACATTCGGCTCTTACCTTTGGGCGAGATGTGTCTCCAGGTGATTGTTGGATCTGGCCTGCCCGTGGCTATGCAGGTGAGGCTGACGTTGCCGCCCTCGTTGATGGAGATGTCAGAAGAGATCTCGGTGATTTTCGGAGACACTGCAATGACACAAAGAGAGAAATGAAAATGCAACCGGGTCTGCTCCGACTCAAATCTCTAAGTGTGGGTGAAGGAGGCTGAATTTCCTTCCTCCCCCCACCTCGACAAGCTATGCAGTAGCCCATCAGTCTCATCTGACTTGACGGGAGCACACAGGGGAAAGGGGGGACAGAGAAGACAGGGTTGAAGTGGGAAGAAATTGTAGCCAGAGGGCATTCAGTCATTTTAGGGAGGCTCAAGACAGCTCCTCCTCAGCACCTCTGTGGTGCGCAAGACGGTACTTCTTCCCCACCCGGCTTCCAGTACTCATCCCGTCCTCCCAGCCATGAAGAACCCTTTCCAGCAGAGCTGCATCCTACTGAGAAAACACCATCCACCCCCTTCAAACTCCCTCAAAGGCAGCAGTCGCTCCTGGCGCAACAAGAGCACCCAAAGCATGCACGTGGCTTGCAGCTCTTTCTGCAGCCTTGCAGGCTCTCTGCCATGCCCTTGCAACCAGAAAAGCACCAAGAGGAGCTGGGCATGAAGACGACAAGTCTACTGAGGAGCCTCTGAGGTCTACCACCGTGCAAAGGGAAATTCAATCGGGATGAAAGCCATCCCACTGCATTGGCACTGCCATCATGAACACTCAGGAGCAGGTCAGATACGAGGGGCCCAGACCCAAAGAGAGGACATACATACAGGACGGAGGGTGATAAGAAGGGGAAGGGATGAGGAGCAAGCAGGGAGCGCTCAGCCCCTGCTGCTGTGTGAGCGGAGGACGCGATGCGGGTGCCAGGGAGGGCTGGGGTTTCTACAAGCTCTACAGCAGGGCTGTATGAGAAAAACAATTGGCTGCTGTTATCAGCCTGCACCTGCAGAACATAATAAAGACCATCACCTTCCTCGGTTTATTTTTTGTCAGGCCATTCTCCGGAGCCTAGCAGCGGATTGGCACCCCACTGCGGCACTTTGCAGGAGAGTCACAAATCACTTGCAAAGCATCCTGCTCCTTCCACCCTCCCTGGGCGAGCCCTGTGCATCGACCCCGCTTGAAGCTGCAGCCCAGACCATTGCAACACCCCTATTCCTGACTTGGACCGCGCTCCTCAGCACCCCTTCCCTGCATCTCCCCGCCTCCCACACCTTCCCGGGGCTGCGCCGAGCCGGAATGACTGCAATGGCCTTGCACACATTGCCTCTGCTGTGCAGGTAAGTAATTTATTGATCCGTAAAGCACTCCAAGATGCTCTGGAAGGGATTATGTCATGCCAGTGCCGTGCAATAAAATAAAAAATGATGGATTTTTTGTGAACATGAGGGTGATTTAGGGTTTGTAGTTGGAAGTGTAGTTAAAGTACATTTTAAGTGGAAATCAAGGTGGGTAATGAATTATTCTCTGTTTTGAAGGGCTTCTGGGAGTTCATTTTTTTGCTGCTCTGGGCACGACGGCTAATCTGCTAATCATGCACCGGAGGACAACTATGGATCAGACGCTTCCAGAACAGTGGGGGCTCTGGGGCAGGACAGTGGAGGGCATGAAGATGACATCGAAAGAAATATTAATATGCATCAGTGTCATTAAGCCCAGCGTAAAGGGACAGCACATGCCTCCTGGGACCACCCGCCCGCACGGAGCTGGGAGATGCTCTGCCAATAGCCACGTAGTCCATTGAGGAGATGCAATTACTTCCAACGGCGCTACGATTGCCCCACCGCGTTCCTGGTGAGGCTGGGACCGCTAGCCAGGAAACCCATGTGTGCTTTAAAAAGACCGAGCTTATGGTCTAGACAACAAAAATAGGCCAAGGAGGTATTACGGTTGCCATTTCAGAGAGATGGAAAGAGACAAGTGGAGGCACAGTGAATTGCCCACCATCGCCCGGGAAGAGGCAATAGCTTCCAGCTGTAAGTCCCGACAAAACTAGAGCAATATCTATCATCTTCAATGCGATGCTCGCTAAATCTCACAGGAACCTTTCTGACGTTTTTAACTACTGAATCCACATCGACCCAATTCAGCTTGTTTTGCAGAGCTCACCGAGACTTAAAAAAAATCAAGTCAGGCTTGGCACCGCGACTCTGGTACCGCACACATGGATTTGCACCCAGCCAGGAGAGAGACAAAAATCTGTAATCAAATCAACTGACCCGATTCTAAAACATAATTACAACAAATTAAACTTGGATTTCCCGAAACACGAGCGTTACATCCTCCTCCTCAGCAATACAGCAGGAGATTTAAATCTTGCTCAGACCAGGCAGAGGGGGAGAGATGATTGTGTTGCTGCTTGGCTGGGCAACAGGAGACTTTGCATCTCTCTCCAACAAGTGCAAAAGCAGCTCGAGTTGCTCGTGCGCCGGGGAAAAAAGCCCACCATGCCCCGGCGAGCTCAGGACATGCTCAGGGAGAGGCAATTTACTGCAGCCCACCTGGGATGAGATGAGGCAGGAATGGCTGGGAAGTAAACCAGACCGACTTCAGCAAAGTCGTTAGCTAACCCTTAGATTAAATGTGCAGTGGTAGGATTTAACACGACAGTTATTGTGTGCTAATTAAATGTTTGAATAATTAACCACACAAACTATTTAAAATGCCTTTCTGGAGACAGAACAGGTATGTTGCAAGGCTTCTACCACGCTAGGGAGGGAAACCTTAATAAACAGGTGATCGCAAATATATATTTAATACTATTTAATGGTCACCGGTGCTCCCGTTCCCTCTGCATTAAAGCACTTTCACTGTCAGTTGGCATTTCTGCAGCAATGGGGCAGATGAGAAATTTCTTACGCTGAATGCGGGATGCAGATGGAGCTGTGCCCCTATGGGAATGAATAAATAAATAAAGCTAAATAAATGCAGGCTTCCCAGGCGGGAACCCTCTCCTTGCGGGCAGTCCTTTTGTGTTCAGCATCTCTCTTGCTCAGAAGTGATTAAACATGGCAGTGTTGGCCAAGCTGCTCCAGTTACACAGTGCAGATTTCCCCAGAGACAGGCTGGTGTTTTATCGATCTGACGACTTCTTTTTTTCCCTATCCTTGCCACGATGACGGGAAAGGTCTCTGGGCTGCTCTCAGCCACTGCAGCCCTCCGCAGGTGCCCAGGGCATGCCCTCAGTTTGCCCGGGCTTGGCACTCGCTCGCACATGTGGAGTCTCCGGGACAGAAAGCAGCTTGCTTAAATATTTAACCAAACCATATGGTGCGTTACACGTTTGAGGGTGTTCAGTCAGGTGATATATGTCTTTACGGATCCAAGCATATGCACTTGCCTACACAGATATATTCCCTGGCGCACAGACACCCTCCTGCCACCGGCACTGACTATATCCCCGCTATGCTTTCACCTCCAAACACCCGTCCCAGAGCCAACACAGGTGCAAAAGCTCACGCATCCCATGCACGTACCCCTTGGCCCTGCCATCTCCTACCATCGTTACTTCCCCATCCATCTTCCCTGCATGCAATGGCCGTGCTGCTGCCCGTGCTTTCCTCTCCCCGACACTGCGTCCTCGCCGCTGTCTCCTGATGTACCCCTTGGCGTGACTGGGCTCCTCGGGCACCCCAAATTTTAGCCACGCATCAGGCAAGAGGCAAGGAGACCCCTGAGTATTAGGGGAGCATGAATCTCGAGCAACCTCTCCACCAGAGACAGGGAAGGAGACCGCAGATGAGCCTCACCAAGTTGGGTGTCTGCAAGCAGTAATTGCATTTTTTGCCTTAATCACCTCCTTTCTACCCAGTTTTGGGAGCCAAGCAAGTAGGGCAGAAATACACGTGTGACCTTTCCAGACCTGCAAATCCCTTCTCATGCAGGAGCCGGGCAGAGCGGGTGCTTGCCCCAGCAAAGCGCTCTGCACTGTGGAGGACTCGCAGCCCCCAGCAGCAGCCTGTGAGCGAGCAGGCTCTCCCGGTAAGCCTAGCAAGCGCCATGCTTCCCCCTCATAAAACATGCAAACCTCCATCTTCCAGCACGAGCAACATCTGCTCCAGATCAAAGGAAACCACAAAGAACAACTATAAAAGCGTCTCAAAGAAAGAAAAAGAGGGAGATTCAGACTTGCGTTCTGCAGGCGATCTGTGATGTGCACTGGCAGCTTCCTGAACATCAGGCTGCTGCTGCTCCTGCTTTTAATAGCAGCCTCTTACCGCTGTCACCCACAGACTTCCCTGTGTTTTACAGAGCGCTGCTACCACGGGTCCTGTCTCTGGGACTCGGCGAGCGAGAGCCATGGGTGCCCCAGCCCTGCTCGCGGCGATGCTACGAGCTGGGCCAAGCCCGCACTCCCATGCCAACAATGGAGGGGTCCACTGAGGCCAGCTGGGGCTGGGTGCCAGGCAGGGACCTCCCCATCCAACTGCTCCAGGTTGCAGCAGAGCAGTTTCCATTC